ACCTGGGGAGCACGGCAGCGCTCCCACCGAGGGTTCGGATCCCACATACAGACCGGTTCCCGCTCACTGGCTGAGCGAGGTGCGGGAGCGACACCGAGGGTTGCGATCCCGTTGCCGGTCCCGGTCCGGTACGGGCGCGACACTGAGGGTTGCGATCCGTTGCTGGTCACGAAAAAAGACAAAAAGGAAAAAAAAAAAAAAAGAAAAGTCCAGCTAAGTGACGGTGGTGGTTGGGGGAAGAAGAGCACATTGCCTCACAGCATTTTGGTAGCTGCTCAGTGTGACTGAAGCGCACTCAAAGAGGCAGCCTCATTCGGTGAAGTTATTGCACTGTCTTTGATCGGGGCAAAAGCACATCTACTTCAATCACACTACCTGAGATGGGCCCGCTGTCTGGCTACCCAGAGAGCTGAGCCAGCCTCGAGCCTGCAGACACATGGCAGTGCTTAGCATGTCAAACAAATAAAGGGCCCTTGACTGTCCATACAACCTCCGCTGGACTCCAGGGGCCCTCTCATTTAGCAAGTCAGCCTGGACTAATCTGGAAGTTCCTTTCCCCCAGCAAACACCACCTGGCCCAACCTGGCCTCGCCAAAACAAAAGCTGGCCAGCAGGCTGCCTGTCACAAGGCAGCAAGCACCTCGGAACCAGGAGGGCAGCTTGACCATTCTTATAAGCAGCACGCCCGGGATTACACAAGCTGAGGGAGAGGAGAAGGACTGCCATGCCCTTTGCCCTCCTCTCTATAACCTTTACCCTGTCCCAGCCCCAAACTAATCTCAGAGAGGTCTGATCGCCTCCACCCACACGTGAATTCTCAGCAATGCAGTTTCAAATACATACAAAGATCACCTGCATTCTTTGTACTAGAATAAACAGTAAATAAAAAATTGATGCGAGAGCTGATCTGTTTCCAAACCTGGGGAACTTCAACAACAGGTTTTGTGATTTTTTTCTTAAGTGGTATTATCCATAAAATCTTAGGAAGATCTGAGTAGTAGAACCACAGCAGAGATGAAAGTAATGATGTCGATGAGGACAAACATTTATATAGCATTTATGGGTTCCAAGTGTTTTACATGTTAACTCATTTAATCCTCATCCAACCTAATTCGGGAAGCTAAAATAATCATCATCAATAAATACTACTGCTAATAGTAATATATAATAATATGCAAACATAATGATTACTATTACATATCATAATAATTATTATTATTACATATAATAATGGAGATAGTCATCTCCATTTTTCAGGTAAGAAATCTGTGATCCCGAGAAACTCAGTGACTTGTGCAAGACGGAGGCGGGCAGGAGGGGGGTGCTGGGCTTCACATCCAGGCAGTCTTGCTCCAGGAGTGGTGCACTAACTACAGCACCAGAATGCCTCCCACCAGCGCATGCCTCTGAGCCTCCTTTTAAGCTGCCAGTTCAGAAAGTAGCAGAGTATGGAGGGCTCTGGAGTCAGAAGAACTGGGTTTGAACCCCAGCTCTGCCTCTCCACATCCCGCTGTTGGTGCATCTTCTGTAAATGGGTATAATGACACCTACCTTGCAGGCTCATGGTGAGGCTTAAACAAGAAAACAAATATAACAAGCACTTCTCCCAGGGTTGGCAGCCAAGGTCAGTTTAACCCAGCAGCTCTCAAGCCTGGCTGCACATTTGAAACAACTGGGAGACTTTTAAAATGTTGATGTCCAATTCCCCCCACACACAACCCCTCTACATTTCTACCCCAAATGGAGGTCAATCTGAAATAAGTAATCCCCTATGCCCAGCCCAGAAACGAAACCTAGAACTCCTCAAACCAAAGGCTGGCTTATACCTTTTGCCTCACTGATTCAGAATTACAGGGAAGCTTCTAAACCCCTGTATCCTCTGCCCCCAGCTCGAAGACAATGGGAATCTCCCAAATGCTACTCTACTGAACAAAGGGAGTTTCAGGCGCTGGGACCGTCCCCAACCACTTGGCTAAGCTCTCCCTTGACCAGTGACCTTCCCCACTTTCATCCAGACAGTTCCTCCGTCCAGCTGGCACTGTGTCCTGACTCTCACAGAAACCTCCCACCTCCCAGGCTACATCTCCGCCCCCAGCCACAAGCCCCTGTGTGGGAGGGAGCAGCCTAGAAGCTTCCCTGAGGAGCGCCTTATTGTCCCACTGCTGCCTGTGTTTTAGAAATAGTCTATGCCAACATCAACATAGCCACCTCCACCTTTATGCAAGGCACTAACCAGAAGACAGGCAGGATGAGGGGTGGACTGCCTGAAAAAGAGATTTTTAAATCCGATTGTATGTATACCCATGCACATGTGTGCACGTACACACACATGCACCCCAAGAACCATGGTACACTTTGTGCTTCATTCAAGGACTGGGAAGGGAGCAGGGGAGTGCAGAGGGGTAGCAATAAACAGTGAAGGGAATACCGGGGTTGCCCATGGAAACTGGCAGGGATAAGAAAAAATAATCAGCCAACATTTGACAAAAACGAAAAACGCAGGTCTGGCTCTCAGAAGAGACGGCCAGCAGGGAGGATGGGGACCAAGCAGTGCCAGTTTCCTGGCTCAGACTTCCACAGTCTTTTCAGGACCCGCTGCCAGTTGGCAAGAGCAGTGTGGAGGGCCCAGGACGGGGAGGTGACAGGGAGGGGAGCTGAAGAGCTGCTCACTCAGCTGTTTCCCAGAAAGCGAAGGCGCCAAGAGGCCCTCACACTCTTGGGACACCTCGCCTCTGCCTCAGTCCAGGAAACGGGCCCGAGAGACTCATCCAAGGCCTCACCTGAGTAAAGGAGCCGTCCTCGCCACACTCCGGGACAAACACAGTCTCCTGAGGCTTCTTGGCCTGCTCCAGGGCTTGAGCCCGCTCCAAGCGACACTTGCTCTGGCCAGCATCTGAAAGGGGAAAGGAGCATATTTCATGTCCCACTTGGACTCCACACCGAAGCCCAGGAACAAAATGGTGCCCTGCTGCAGGAGCATGGAGAGAAGCCACTGCTCCTGTGGGGAGCCCGTGCAACCAGCTGGCTCATCTACCAATGAGCGGGGAGGGCTAGTGACCCTGCTCAGCCCCACCCTCCTCAACATTATTCCTGGAAAAGTGGGGGGTAGGGGTTCGTATTGACACCGGGTTCTGCTTAACTTTTCTCCCAAGTACCCCTACCCTCACCGAGGAAAACAAAATGTTTCACTTCCATTACTTTACACTAGGTTTATTCTAAAACTAGTAAGCCTAAGGGGTCTCAAAGATGTTTTCTAGTTCAAGAATGGTAAGCACTTTCTTTAGAAAAATCAAAAACTCTAGGGCAGCCTGCTTAGCCTCCTCCAATTCCTGTCATGTTTCTAAGAAATCCAGAGTCACCAACTCAAATATCTACAGGACTCAGGAAAGTGATATAAAGTAGAGAAGTGAGCTGGGTATAAAAAGAATGGCATTCAGATCTGAGAGACCATAGGGAGTGGTGAGGCCTGTGGCAAACTGGAACACAGGCTCCACTTTAAAGGGGGTAGCTGCTACTCAGCTCTAGCCACAAGTCACTTTGCAGAGCACAGACCTAATATTACCAGAACTTCCAATTTTGGAAGAGAAGTATAAAAAGCCAGATTTTTATGTTGAATCTCCCAATTTTAAAATATTGTCTCAAATGTTTTTAAACATGTGAGCAGACCAAACGAAACACATCTGTTGACCAACAATTTGGAGTCCCTATTCAGAAGCCAGCAATAATGTCTTGCCATTTTAAGCATCTCCATTAAAACACAAACACACACACACCCACACGCATACACACACACACACACATGCACACATTTCAGAAGCCAGCAATAATGTCTTGCCATTTTAAGCATCTCCATTAAAACACAAACACACACCCACCCACACGCACACACACACACACTCATGCACACACACATGCACACGCACACGCACACACACAGCAACAGCCAGATAGCAGTACATCTCTCGAAGCCCTAGCCTGGTGGCAATGTTTGAAAGACAGAAAAGTGCTCATTCCTTGAGGTAGACCAGTCCTCCTTCCCTTATGGCCCTGGAAGGGTGGAGAGATAGGATAGCAAACTAAATGAACAGACTTGCTCTGAGCTCCCCTCTGGGAACACACAGTGCAAGTGGCCGCAGTGCCCAGGAGCCTCCCCTTGGCTGGGTGGAGGTGCGCGCACTCACCTTTGCATCTACCTCGATGCACCACACCCAGGGTTGGGTCTCGGCACTTGGCTCGCTGGTACTCACACATGGACTCATAGGACCTGCCGTCGGAGGCACAGATGGGTTTGGGCTGAGTCCTGGAGCAGTGGAGGTTGCACTGAGCATCACGGTCACTTATTAGAAACTAGGTTGGAAAAAAGTGAAAGGGTGTACAGGTTATTTTTGCAGGAAAAGTGAGGGGGAGTTCATGACTTACAGAACTGGTATGCCCTTGGGAAGCAAGTCCCAAATAAATCCAAAGCTGTAAAACTCTAGAGGCAAAGGGAACTGAGCAGCCACAAAGTCTAACCAAGGAAGGCATCCTCCATACATCATAAGAACATAACGTCTAACAGTGACCATTAACAAGCACTGTGCCCAGTAACTCACACGCAGGAGCACATTAATTCTCACAACAACCCTGTGAAATAGGAACTATTTGTCTTGTAGATAAGGAAACCAAAGCCCAGAGAGAGGTAACTTGCCCAATGTCACATCACCATAAGTAGTGGAGGTTGAACTTAAAAGTAGATCTGTGGATCCCACATACAGACCAGTTCCCGCTCACTGGCTGAGCGAGGCGCGGGAGCAGCACCGAGGGTTGCAATCCCGTTGCCGGTCCCCGGTCCGGTACGGGGGCAACACTGAGGGTTGCGATCCGTTGCTGGACACGGAAAAAGACAAAAAAAAAAAAAAAAAAGAAATGAGAGAAAACTTTAGCCTGTAGGATATTTGGCCTCTCCGTCCATGCAGATGGTCGCACAACCTCTATTTGGGCACTTCCTCAAGTCAGGAACTCACTGTCCGTCTCCAGAGTCCATCTCTGGAAAGTTTTATTTATTAGGTAATAGTATTAAGCCCCAAATCTATCACCCTTCAATTTCTGCCCACTACTCTCTGGCAGAACACAAGTTAAGTGATTTTTCTGTGAGGAAGGGATTTCCTGGCAGCAGGAGGGGAGGAGGGGGCAGTTGTACCCACACCTCAACCCCTGCACGGGATACCTGGTTGCCTGCTTCAGGCTGCCCCTGCTTAAAACCCTTCAGTGTGTCCCACTGCCCTTGGGGACCCTCACTTGGTCTCTCAGACCTGGCAGAGTCTGACCCAGCCACAGCTCTCCTCTGTGACCACTGGTTGACGATGGCCTGCTTTCCATTTCTCAGATGAGCTGAGAAATCACTCATACCTCCTCAAGCCTCCAATCACTTGTACCTCCAGCCCTCAGACACGCAGCTCCTTGCCCATTCCCTCCCACCCTACACCTCAGGATTCAGTTCACACCCTCCCTTCTAGGAGGCTTTCTCTGACTCTCACAGGTGAGGATGGATCCCCTGGAATAATCTCTCACACCTCACTTTTCCTTCATGGTTATTAACACAGTTTGTGCTGATGAATTTATTTCTGCAATTTGTTACAGTGAATTTTTTTCTGTAAAGTGTTAACAATGGAATCCCCAACTCTGAGTTCTATGAAGACAAGGATAATGTTTATTTTGCCTACGAACACAGCCCCAGTACCTAGCACAATGCTGGGGCATGCAATTATTTGTCAGATGAATACATTTCCCACACAGCATTCCCTAAAAACCTGCTGGTGTGTGATCAGCACCGCACTCTCCCGAGTGAGCCATGGGCCGGCCCGTGCTGGTGTGTGATGACAGGCCAGCCTCCCAGGCTCCTACCACCCCAGGGGAATGCTGGGGCCGCTCCCCCATCCCTGTGCTCTGAGCCCTGCCCTTTTCAAGCCAGGTCCTCCCCTGCACCCTCCCCAGTGCATTGCACAGGGGGCTGGGGGCAGAGGTGGCCCACAGCTTCTCATCCTCACTCCATCTCAGAACAAGAGCTCTCATCAGGAGCTGGAAGTGCCTGCAGGACAGGATGGTCTCATCTGGATGCTCACCACTTGGTGTCTGGCACACAGTAGGCTCTTGGTGAACAGTTTTTGACTTTATGAATTCATTTTTGCAACTGGGTCCATATTTCCATTTGCAGTGTTACTCTGTGCCAATGACAGGCAATGCTGCTCAATGGTTAGAAGCATGGCTCTGGAGCCAGGCCATGGGTATCAATATCAGCACTGACACATACACGCTGTCTCACCTCGGGGAGGTTGCCTAACTCCTCTGGGCTTTAGTTTTCTCATCTGCAAAATGAGGATAACAACATACCCTGCTTCATAGGGCTACTGTGAAGATTAAAAGGTTAACACATTGTAAGTCATATGTAAGTTTTTGTTCACCTTTTTCTTTGTAATTTAAATGGGGTAGGTGGGGACATTCTTTAAAAGACCACATCAAAAAAAGAGGGAGAGAGAAAGACGAAGTTTCTTTTCAAGCCCGTAGAGGTTGCCTTGTTGTCTACTCTGCTCGTGGGGAGGAGACCTGAAGGCGTCACCATGGCATTGAACGAAAGGCCATAAATTCAGTTTGGAAATGGTTTGCTCTGTGCCAACAGAGATGCCACGGCAACTATGCCCTAGACCAGCTTAGTAACAAGGGCAACACTCTGTCTGCAAACAGACAGGTTACAGAGAGTCAGAAGCCCCACCTATCCCAACACACAGAGATCATTCTCGGTTTCAGAAGAGCTCCCAAAAGATTCCTGTCTAGAAATTACTGGTCCCTGAGACCAAGTAAAAGGTGCAGAGACAGCATGGGCCTTTGCTAAAGACCATCTTCAATCAACTATGGTGCCTTATTTTCATCTGTTTTAGGAACTGTATGTATTTGTGATTGTTTTCAGAGAAAAACAATAATAAAATTGAGCTTTAATAGGATGACTCTGCCCTAATAGGATCACCCAAACCTCTGAGGCCCCAAAGGGATTACTTTATGTTCACACACATAGGAGGAGGTAATCCTGCAATTTGTCCATCCATCTGTTCATCTGCTCTGCACTCAATAAGTGAGCACCAGCAGTGAGCCCAGAACTGCTTCAGGCATAGGAAGCAGCACACAGCCAACGTAGTCCCTGCCCTCAATGAGCTTACACTCCAGAGTAGACACAAGGTGCAAGCAGGCATTGACCATACAGCTTGTTGGCGGGGCACCACAGTGATACTTAGACAGGCTAAGAGAGGACTTAATCCCAGGGTCTCTGGCATGCTACAAAGCCACACAATCCAGTAGTACTTTCCATGATTATGGAAACCTTCTACATCTGTGCTGTCCACTACAGTAGCCACAGACCACATGTGGCTATTAAGCACTGAAATGTAGTTAATGCAACTGAAGAATCAAATATTTAGTTGTGTTTAATTTTCATTAATTTAAATTTAATGACCACATGTGGCTAGTGGCTACTATATGCAATAGCCCAGCTGTAAAGTAAACAAACCAAGAGAGGAGGGAAAGTAGTCTCAGCCGAGTTTTTCCCAGTTGAGCCCAGCTAAGATTGATTGAACTAATGTAAGAACACAGCAGATCCTGAGAATAATTTCTGCATTTTGAAACTAGATAGTAAATCAGTTTATTACTTATGGGTCAACAGCCAGGATATCTCAGGAGTTTGTCATAGTCCACCTGATGTCGCAAAGATGGCATTTTCCTCTCTTCTTTCAGGAGACAAGAGGTACAGACTAGAAGCCTCCAGAATGAGCTTGTGGCCTAAGCCAGGTCTCTGAGCATACAGACAAAACTCAGAGTCTGAGTCACCCTCCTGGGATATGAACCCCCCCGGGGCCATGGAAGTCTGTTGTGGGCTCAAGAGCAACCAAGACCGCTGGAAATTATTGGTGTTGGACTGGGACAAGCTGTCTCCCCAACAAGCCAAATGCTGAGCTATTTGCCACTGGGGGGAAATAGTATTTTCATAAATAAACTCACAAAGATTCCCTTCCTTCTTCCTAACCAAAAGACAATTTAAAAAAAATAGTAATGTTAAATGTGATTACGGAAACCAAACAAAAGAACCTGAGACAATTGAGCACCTGCAGTGGTCTCTCCCACTTCTCTCCTTGGGGAGTGGACGACTCCAAACATTTGGTGTTATGCTCACATTTGTAAAGTTGGACAGGCACTTGATATACATATAAACAAGTCATCCTTCCTATTAGAAGTATAAGCTACTGACTGGTGACTGTAGGCTGCTTTTGCCATAGAGGAGAGCAGGGTAGACAAAATCAGCGTGAGACCAACAATCCCTTCTGTTTGCAATGGACACACACTGATCTTTGCCCTTCAGTCTCCAGCAGGGTAGAATGCAAACCCTGCCACAGCTTTTGCTCAGGGAGACCACCCCAGTACCACAAGCTATGTTAAGTTTGACTGACTGCCAAGTTTCCATGACAATGTAGGGAACAAGAGAGCCAGCCTAAGGTTCCATTTGGGAAGAGATGTTCAATTCTTTATAGTACAGAGCTGTTCTCACGGTCTTAACTTTACCTGCTAGTACTGTGCTGATTTATCCAGTATCTAAAACTATAAATAGGCATTTTCCTGGTAACGTGCACATCTCTATATTTTTCTCAGGTATAGAAGAGGGGGCAGGGGCCATACTAAACAACCAGGTCAGGGGCCCATCCACTGGATTTGGGAGAGTGAAGTCTACAATTTGGAGCAGCAAGTTGCATTTCTCGTTATGAAATCATACTCAAAAAATCACAGGCCACACTCAAACCAATTTGAGAGTTTTAAAAATAAATTCATATGTAACACAGCTTCAAATACTCACTTTCAACATTTTTGCTTCACTTATCTATTGCTGCAAAACAAACCACCCCTAAACTTAGTAGCTTCAGACAATGATTTATCATTTCTCATAATTCTGGGGGTTGGCTGGGCTCAGCTGGGAGGTTCTTCTGCTCCATGTGTTGTCAACTGAGGTAACACATTTGACTGCATTTGCTCGGAAAGCTGGCAGAGGCTGGGACATCCACAATGGCTTCACTCACTGGTGCCTCAGGCGGGGTGGCTGAAATGGCTGGGGGCTGATAGGGGTTTTGTCTCCAGCTGGCTTTCCTTCTCAGTCACAATGACTTCATTTATTTCTTTATCTCTGGTCTAGGTGTTTGACTTTGCCACCAACCTTCCTCCCCACCCCCATTCAAGTTCAGATTCTACACTGCCATCGAGATTATCATCCCAAAAAGTGAATGCTCTCATGTTTTAAACACCACCACAGGCTTCATTGAAGCTCCTACTGCATT